AAAAAGACTACGCCTGCACGTGAGGGGGCGTGTTAGAATATAAATAACTGTTCCTGGGCCACAACCACAAGCTCGAGCTTGTGGTTGAGTTGGTTCCTTGACACGTGCAGGCGTAGTCTTTTTCAAGCCTTGCACGTGAAATCTTAATTTTTTTAAAACTGGGTGGCGCTGAGTTTCGAACCCGTGACCTCTTAGTCAACGAGGCTTTGATACCATGTCAAGGAACCAACTCAACCAATAGCTCAAGCTTGTGGTTGTGGCCCAGGAAATGTTTCTTATATTCTAACAGTCTGTTTTGACTTTGGGACATTTAAAGAAGAGAAAAGATAGAATTGATTTTTCGAAATTGTCATTACTTTTCAAGGGAGGTGACGATGAATGAGAAGATAAGGTGATGAAGAATGACTTATTTTAGAGATAGTTTAGATATTTTACTTTTAAAAGTTTACGATAACAAAAAACATGTAACTTATTTTGGGATAGAGAAAAAATAAAAACATGTAATAAAATTACTTCCCAAAGAGGAAGAAGGGGGCAGAGCGAAAGCGATTGGAGAAGATGGCCGGCGCCATGGCGTGAGCCGGATGCTGGGTGTGTCGCCTGTCTTGCGACGCCGGTGAGGGCACGCGGTGCCATCCATTGTAGTGCTTTGCTGCATCGTTGATCTAATTTATTTTTTATTTTAACTCTATAAATTCAACACTTCTTTGATTTCAAGTTATCCACATTCATTTTCAACTCTTTCTCATTTTAAATTTGTACATCACCTCATTCTATTTCACTCTTGAGAAAATGGATTTCTCACCAACGGATGAGCTAGTGAATATGCTATTGGCAATGTACTAGAATTCATTACCTCTAATTTAGGTGGAGATCGAAAATGAAATCGCTCGACAAAATGAATGACTTAATCGAAGAAATTTCAAGGCGGAGCAATAGTTAATTCCTATGTTAGGTTATTAATATTTTTTATTTTTATTTTAATTATATGTATTTTTTTCATTTTAATAAAGAGTGTCGTTAGCATTTTTATTTTAATTATATATATATATATATATATTATTTATATATCTTTTTTATTAAAGATAACGAATATTGTAAAATAAATCAAGGCAAAAAGAGAGTCGATAGCATGCATTACAAGAAATAGTGACATGACGGTAAGTCGGTAAGAGAGTTTGCCCCATTGTAAATAGCATAAGAGATGGAGTGTCATAAAGCATAAAGGCAAATATGCAAAATGTAAAAGAAATGACACACAGCCACACAGGGACACCCAAAACAAAGGAATCCACTAGCACTAGCTCTAGTCTAGGCATAAACACAACAAAAACATCAAACAACACTTGTACCAAAAAGTGTATCTCAAAGTTATACACTAACACAAAATGCTAGTGTTTTATAAAAAATTACACTAACATTTTGTGTCTGTGTGAACTATAGTCATAGCATTACACTGACACAAAATGAAGGTGTAAATCTGCGGTGTACAAATTGGGATATAATTAATGGGGTACAAAGTCGAGTATGCACCTCGTACTTGAGAGGTCTTACACTTGGCATAATTACTCTCCCGGACAATTCAAGAAATCAAACTCAATTGAGCTAAGCCTATAAAAATGCTAAGGGGATACACCAATTGTGTACCCCAAAGCCCAAACATAAGCCAAGTTCTCTCATACCACATACTTCTTAGAATTGTGCAAACAAAGATTCGGGCCGAGCTTAATACAAATTATTAGCCCATTTATATGGGTAGGCCTGACCCGCCACAGATCTGGGCCGGGCTTAATACAAATTATTAGCCCATATACATGGGCGGGTCGGACAGGATAGCCCTTGTTTGTACAGGTCTAATACTTCTCAATGTAAAATATAAAAGAAAAAAATGAATAAATATGTGTGGTTACAAAATCCTTAGTGTAAATTTATGGTATATATTTGGTAAGCCTAGCATCTCTCATAAAAAAAAGTGATGCTAGATGTACTCAAAATGATGTATCTGTGATAACAGACACTTAATATCTATGTTTGTCTGATGTACAAACAAGGTACACCATTTTTTTAATGTACCCGAACTTTATTCTAAAAAAATGGTGCTCATATCTTTTATAGGGAGTGGGGGTTGCCGGGTTGGAGTGGGATGGGCCTAGATAGAGGTTGAGGTTTGATTCCATAATGTGTGGGTTGTGCCCCCATCTTCAGGTGTCATAATTGCTTCCACTTTTGGGAAATCACGGGCCATGCCATGACAACAAACTCCCAAGCCCATCTTCTCTCCATTTGGCACAAAACTTTCTTATAAACAAAAGTGGAATGAAATGAATGAAAATGATGCAGAAGATGAATGAATATTGTTAATTAAAAAAAAAATATTCATAAAAGAAAACATTGTTTTTTTTTGCATAAGAAAAATTTTGTTTACAAAAATTTAGTATTTGTGAATTTATAGTAGATTTAAAAAATACTACCTCCGTCCCAGAGTATTCGTCCAGTTTTGACTTTTGGAACTGTTCATCTAAGCACTTTGACTCATCAAATTCTCTCAATGTGTAAGCCTAAATATAGTCATGTGTGATCTTGTTTGATTTGTCTTAACATATAGATTATTAATATATAATTTCTATAATTTTTTAATATACAAATTACAAGATAAAATGGATTAAAGAAGTGTATTGAATGGTGTGTAAAAATGAAAGTGGACAAATATTCTGGGACGGAGGTANTTAAAAAATACTACCTCCGTCCCAGAGTATTCGTCCAGTTTTGACTTTTGGAACTGTTCATCTAAGCACTTTGACTCATCAAATTCTCTCAATGTGTAAGCCTAAATATAGTCATGTGTGATCTTGTTTGATTTGTCTTAACATATAGATTATTAATATATAATTTCTATAATTTTTTAATATACAAATTACAAGATAAAATGGATTAAAGAAGTGTATTGAATGGTGTGTAAAAATGAAAGTGGACAAATATTCTGGGACGGAGGTAGTAGATAGAGTTTGATTCCAAACAAAAATAATCTTTGCATTTCAGATTTTTTTTTTTGAAAGGTTTGCACCTGAAATTTGACTCAACATTGTCCCTATCATTCTTTCTTCCCATGTGGGTTCTATCCTAAGAGGATGCGCTCCTAGAGGTTGGGCCTCGCTTTCTAAATGGGCTTTCTCGAGACATGAATAATGATTCACATCCTGAGCCCGATTACAACTATATAAACAAATAAAATGGATATACGTTGGGCCGATGTCCAAAATAACCAATCAATTGGTACATATTCCGTATTTACTTCTAAAAAACGCAAGAAGCAATAATAAAAATGTAATGAGAATAAGATCTTATGAAAGACGAAATACAATACAATTAAATTTCTAAATGTAATTAATTACGAGTACATTAAAATAGACAACCTCCTTAAAATCAAATAACAAAAAAAAGAAACAGATGGAAGAATAATAGTGAAATATGAATTTTTCAAGAAGCCTTTGGCAATTAGCATTGCATTTAGTAGTTGTTGTTGCACTTGTCTGAGCAAGACCCAACACAGCCATTCATTTCCTCTTTATCTGCAAATTTTCATTTAAAAAAAACAAAAGAAAAAGTATTATTAACACCAAATTATGAGAAAAATACCTAATTGAAACTAAAACAATTTTAATATACCAAAGTATAAATTCAATGTTTTTATAACAAAATAGTGTGTATGACCTATAATATATATCAGACAATGTCTTGTTATGTAATTATAATTTTTATTTAATTGATTATAAAAATCTACTCATTGTGCACCAAAATAATTTACACTTTTACTTTTTGAACATCACTATAACTTTTGTTTACTCATATTTTTAATTGACAATGAGATAAAATTAAATATTATCCTTGCATCTTGTTTGTAGAACTTGTCATGTAGTTTTTTAAATACTTCGTATGTAATTTTTATTTTTTATTTTTATACCAAGTTAAAGACAAAATCACTTTAAAAAAAGATGAAATTTCACACGTTGTTTGAACATTGCAAAGGAATTTGGGACGAAGAAACTATCTAAAACTCGACAAATACTACTCCGTATAATATAGAATAAACTAGAAAAATGAATACTACCTCTCTCTCAAAAAATGCTTTACAAATTAACTTTTTTGAAACTTAAGAAAAATGTAATTTAAAAAATAAACAAATAATCTCTCCGTCCCAAAAAATCTTCGTTATATCTTTAAAAAACTTATTTAAATGAAATTTACATTATAATTAAATACTCGTATATTTATTCATAGTTGAAGTTATTAAAATTTGACTAAAAAACCAAATATTGAATTTTTTCTTGGGACAGAGAAGTATATGCATGAAATGGAAGGGAATAATGCATACTGGGTTGATGCTTAGTGCTGATGGAGGAGCAGGTGGAGAGGGCACAGCCAAGCTTGCAGAAGTTGTAGGAGGAGGCGGCGGCGGTGGCGGCGTGACCATCAGGGATGTGGGCGGCGGCGGCGGCGGAGTTAAAGATGCAGTCTTTGAGGCAGCTGGTGGTGCAAGAACACAGAGTTTGGGAAGGCTCAATCATGCAGAAGACAAAGCATTTTGCATAGCAGTCTTTGAAAGAGGTGGGGGACCCACTAGACTGCCCTATCACCATCCCCAATCCCACCATTACAACCCCCACAACTGCCCTTAACTTCCTCACATCCATTCTATCTCTCCCTCTCTATCTCTATGTTATGCATGTGCCCTACCAATGGTGGGAATTGAAGCTACTATATACTTCCTCCTTCCCACTATATTTGACCACTTTCATTTTTGCACACCATCCAATACACTTCTTTAATCCATTTTATCTTGTAATTTGTATATTAAAAAATTATAGAAATTATATATTAATAATCTATATGTTAAGACAAATCAAACAAGATCGCACATGACTATATTTAGGCTTAGATGAACAGTTCCAAAAGTCAAATGTGGACAAACAAAGTGGGACGGAGGGAGTATGTTTATATATGTTTCAAAAATGGTAGGGTACCCAAAAAATGGTCAACAATGATAGTGTAAAAATGGGATACACCAAATGATATACCACTAGCATTACTCTTGCATAGGTGGATATCTACCATAGCACAAACTATAATTTCGAGTATACCGAAGGTATCTCATCACTCAGAATATGACCTTCTATTTCTAAGTGATTGAGTTGCTAGTATACCTACTTAGTTTGCTAATTGCACAAGCCAAGTCTGGCCGTGTGCAGCTCATGAGGTATATAAGGCTTCTGATAGCTCTCGCATATTCAGTTTGAGAATCTCTATTCCCTGTGTATTTTACTCAGGTGAACATTCATGTCTATCAGTGTTTTAGCCACTTTAGTATCATTCTTGTTGAATTTTACTACAATTTTGTCAATATAATGAGAATGACTCAAGCTTAGATCGTCTGGTCTTCTTATTATTTTGATCCCAAGAATCACATCAGCGAGATCCAAATTTTTCATATCAAATCGTGCATTTAACATGTCCTTGGTTGACTTGACCATCCTGTCGTTACTTCCAACGATGAGTATGCCCTCTACATACAGACCTAGAATGACATATCCTTTAGGAGTGTCTTTAAAGTACACACGCTTATCTGACTCATTGATCTTAAAACCATTCTTTATCATTAGCAAGTAAAACTTATCATGCCATTGTTTTGGCGCTTGTTTAAGATCATATAATGATTTCACGAGTTTGCAGACCTTCTTTTCTTGGCCTGAAACCTTAAACTCCTCGGGTTGTTTCATATACTCCTTCCGTCCCAGAGTATTTGTCCACTTTCATTTTTACACACAATCCAATGCACTTCTTTAATCCATTTTATCTTGTAATTTGTATATTAAAAAATTATAGAAATTATATATTAAAAATATATATGTTAAGACAAATCAAACAAGATCACACATGACTATATTTAGGCTTACACATTGAGAGAATTTGATGAGTCAAAGTGCTTGGATGAACAGTTCCAAAAGTCAAAAGTGGACAAAAACTGAGGGACGGATGGAGTAGATTTCTTCATCTAACTCGCTATTTAGAAAGACTCTCTTTACATCCATTTGGTAAACCTCTAAATTTGTAAGAATGCTATTGCGATGATCATCTTGATAGAATCTATCTAGTCATAAACGTGTAAGTATCAACGTAGTCATAGCCCTCACGTTAGCTATAACCTTTGATCACAACTCTAGCTTTATACTTGTCAATGGAGCCATCAGGTTTCATTTTCATCTCGAAGACCCATTTAGAACTTAATGGCTTGCATCTTGGAGGAATTGAAGCTCAACTAATTCCCATGCGTGATTCTGAAAAATAGAATCAATTCACACTCTTTTACTTCGTCTCAGTTCAGTTTCATGTTCGATTTCATCATCGTTGCCAAAACTGATTTAGATCATCATTATCCATCATCTCAGTATGCGTACGTTCGAACGATCTGGCTTCATTGCTTGACTTTTACGGAAAGATATGTTCAAAGAAAGTTGCATTCCTTGACTCTATAATTGTGTTCTTGTGAATTTTGGGATTATCTGATTTATACACCAAGAACCGGTACGATGTACTATTGTACCCAATGAATATTCCATGAGCTATTTTGGACCGATCTTCATTTTTTTTGGCTGCAGTGCAAGCACTTTTGCTACACCTCCACATAGGGGTTGTAAAATGAATGAATAATTTTGATTCAATTCGTGATTCGTATTCGAAAAAATGAATACGAATAAGAATATAAATATTTAATAGAATTCGGAACAAAATGAATACGAATAAAAATGTATATGTATTCAATTTGATATGTTAATAAATATATTCAAATTTAAATATATCAATTCGATATGTTAATAAATATATTCAAATTTGAATACGAATAGTAATAATTATTTGAATAAAAAATAAATATTATCATTCTTCAATAAAATTTCACAATATTGGTTTCGATTATTGTTTTACTATCCTACCTCCACACTTTGAAAAATTTTCGCAATCTACGGATTTACGGAGTACTGTACTACTGTATATTATTCAAATCCTAAGTGGTTTCCAGTTTCCATTGTGGAACTTAACCCTAGAACATCCTGCTTAAAGATCAATCCCTTTTTTAGCGAATTACGGTGGCTGATTCAGGCGAGATTGCAAGCAAAGATTGTCCTCTTTCCCGTAGGTGATTCTGAAGATCGTTTGAGGATTTAGGGTGTTTAATTATGAGCAAATCTATGGCTGCTGGAGTGGGAGAAGAGGAGGAGTACGAGAGCGATCCGGAGGAGGCGAAGCTGTCGTTGAAGATGCGGAGGAGAGAGGCGAGCGACGATGAAGAGGAGCGCCGCAGCGGAGGAAGCGGGGAACATGTGAGGAGGGAGAATCCGGCGCGCAGGATTGATTCGGATGTGGAGTCGGATCAGGGCGGCTATGCGGAGTATGATGAAGAAGAAGAAGATGAAGGGGAAGAGGAGTCGGAGTACCTTGAAGACTACGAGGAGGACTATGTTGGGGAGGAGTTTGAGGAGGCTAGTGTGCCGGTTGGTGTGGAAGTTGTTGGTGAGGCTCGACCAGTGCGTATGCTTGCGGATGGCGGTTCTGAAGTTATCAGGGAAGGACTGGCAGCAGAGGTTACAGAATTGGGTGAGGGTTTTGGTGGCAATGATGATGGTAATATGCAGAATGAATTGGAGGAGAAGAAGGAGAATGAACCATATGCCGTGCCAACAGCTGGACCATTTTATATGCATGATGACAGATTTCGGGACAATTCTCGTGGGCGGCAGAGGTATGGGTTCTGTTTGGTGTTTCATATTTTGTATTGATCTTCAATTCTGATTGTGCTACTGTTTTCCTTTTGTGTTGATTGAAGATTTCTAACATAGGGCATGTAAGTAGCTTGCATTTTCCATCAATTCCTTAAAATCCCTATCTGCAATATCATGTCATAATCATTGGATTTTGGTGAAGGACATTCCAAATTGACATTGTGTCTTTACCACATTGTTCCAAGTAGATTTTAGTTGGAATTAAAATTTCTAATGTTTTTCTTTTATCGTGTATGAGATGAGGTTCGTTACTTCATTGCCAAATAGCTGTCGTCCTTAATGAGTTTGCTTGTTTCTTTGTTATCTTTCAAGGAGAACTTTTGGTGGAAGAAAGTTATGGGAGTCGAGAGATGATAAAAAATGGGGGCATGACAAGTTTGAAGAGTTGACCACGGAGGATAGAAACTACTATGGGGTGAATGCTTTTTCCGGTTATGTATTTTTGGACATCATATTTCATTAGGTGTTGCTTATTTTCCTTTAATACTTTTGTTTAACTACTAGGGAAGGAGGAGTTCCAGGGGTCGTTATCAAGGACGCGGCAAAATAAGAGGAACAGACCCGGGATATCCGCGCGGAAGAAGACCTAGAGCATATGGCAATGAGAACAATTATAACAATGAGAACAGAGTTTATGGTAATAATCAGAAAACTCAGAATAATGCACCTAGAGTGAGGGGGCGAGGGCCTAGAAGGTATCGCCCTGTTCCTAAAGCCAGCAATGATGCTCCTCCTCCCCTAAACAAACGGTGAGTGGATAATAATTTTACCTTCATTCACAAGGTTATGTTTGGATCCTGGTGAATTCTAGGGAAGGGTCGCATGCCAATGACAGTATTTTTATATGTATGGTATTACTTTTTGAAATGAAAATGAAATATTAATTGTTCAAAATTTTCATGTATATAGATTTGTTAAACATTGTGTAATAGGTGTAAATAAATGAAACGTAAGCAAATATCTAAAATTATATGAGTTTGGTCTTACAGTATCTCATATTACATTTTCTTTCCTTCCAATCTTTCTTTATGTTTTCCATCCTATCTTCTTCCTATGGTATTTTTGGGGATCCAAATGGACTCTTAGACTCAAAGAAAATAATATATTAATTTTTTTGAACCGATATATTAATTTTTTTCATTTGCTCCTTTGGACTTAGTTCCGGTACGGCGACTGAGAAGCCTTCACATGGTAGTTCTGGGAAAGGGTCTGTAGCTGATGCATCAAATACTGAACTGAATCCAGAACCGCCTTCCAAACAAGGGTTCGTGTCAAGCTTGAATTATGCTTCTCCTCCATTTTATCCCTCGAATACCAAAGACGTGAATGCCTCACATGATGGAGAGTTGCAATCAGGATCAAAGAGTCATACCACCCAATCTTCTCGTGTGAGCGAGAGTTCTTCTGCAGCTCAACCTAGTTCGCTATTGAGAGGGAAAAATGTGATTGAGTCTGTTGCTATGGACAAGCTTAACATCAATGATTCAGTTTCCTTAGTTGCTGGAAAACCTTTAACAACCATGCCGGTGATTCAAGGCTCTTCATATCCCGCTTCAATGCCTCATAGGGCACAAGGAAGAGGAATAACTCCACACTCTCAAATGAATTTTCAACCAACAGTCCTAAATAGCCAAGCGATCAGGACCCCACATCCTATGCATTTCCAAACTATGCAGGGAAGTTCTGTTCAAAGCAGGGGACAACCTTCGTTGCAAGCTACTGGGCAGCAATATATCCAACGTCCTGGTGCTGGATCTCAAGCTCTATCCCCACCTAAACATGGTCAACCCTTAATTGTTGAAACTGGAGAGCTTGAATCGTCTTCAGATGCAAGCAAGTTAAATACTGCTGTGACTAAAGGAAAAGGAAGTATGATCCCTGGTGGAAGGGGATCAATTGTCTATGGTGGAGCTCAGGTTATGGGTGCACCTGGTCGCACTGGAAGTGGGCGTGGTGATCAAAATTTCTCCGCAACTCCAGCCTTTTTGCCTGGTAAATTTTCCTCTACTGGTACTAATGTGTACATGTTTATAAAAAGTAACTTTATGGAGGATTTTTCTACATGTTAATAAGTGAAGGGGGATGCAATTTTTTCGAAATGGTTTGTAACATTTTTTCTTGTTTTCCATCCTTTTGTCATGTTTACTTGTTGGGGTTGTTAATGTTTGTTTTGTTCATCTCACTTGATACATACTTCTAAAACCAACATACATAGGCACTTTTCAGATGATAGATGTTTATGAAACTCATACTTAAATGCTAAATGGCATCTTCAGTCATGCAATTTGGTGGACAGCATCCTGGTGGTATGGGGGTTCCTGCTGTTGGCATGGCATTTCCCGGTTATATGGCTCAGCCACAGCTTGGATTAGGGAGTTCGGAGATGACTTGGTAAGATTCAACTCTTGAAATGCGTAGAATGGTAGGACAATCTCTAAGAGTTAACTTGTCATAACTTGCCTGCTTATTTTAGTGTTTGACTAAAATTGATCCATGGCGCTTTTGTTTGTTCATTGTTTTAGATGCCAAGTGTATCCTGGTCATATGCTTGTAGTCATCTTTATATCTGTTTATGTGTGCATGCCTACATGTACACACATCAAGATTTTTTTTAATCCATGAATTAGTCATAATTTGTCATATTAACATATTTAAAGTGTCAAGTTGTTTTATCAACATCTGAGTGAGAGTCCGGGTTACCACTATTCCAGGACAGTTTATTTTATTTGCATGAGCGCATGATGTTGTGTAATTGTTATTTGACATTTGAATTAATTTTTGTACCCCGGTGGTTATCACTAATCAGATACTACTTCCATTGCCAGGTTACCTGTTTTAGCAGGTGCAGCAGGAGCGTTGGGGGCTCAGTATTGCTCACCTTATATTGCTGTTGATGGTGCCTATCACGGCCGCCCATCTGGGCAGGTTTCTACCATCAATGCTGCTTCAAGGTCAGTGCTTTTTAATTTTTATGCAATTGGTCCTGCAATTTATTACCAACTTTTTAGCATTTGTAAATTTGTAATCGTTTTCACTACTGGTTAATATCCTACACCATCTATTGCCCTCCCCCTTCTTTGGTCAAGGTACAACCCTTAAAAGTAATGGAAGTGTATTAAAATTTTGTTTTTGGGTTTAAACTCAATTTTATCAGTGTTTGAATTTTGTGTAGGAAAACTACATGAACTTGCGTTTGATGAAATAGAACTCTTTTTAAGGACAAAGCTTTTGAAACATTTTTTTTCCTCTTTTCATATGATGTTTAGTTAAAAATCTTTATAATGGGTTTTTAAAATTTCCACCCACATTCTAGAATTTTCAAACACGAGTGTATAAAAAAGTATATGAGTATATAAATAATAGGAAAATTTGTATCACCATGTAAATTGGAGCTTAATGTTTAACTTTTGTGACAGCAAGGAGAGTAATAATAGCAAAGTCAATAATGAAGGGAAGCCTTCACAAAAGCCTGGTAAGATACACTCTGCAGCTTGTGCGAATCATTTGTAGAGTCGTAAAAGTGATATGCTGTTGCTTTTGTATTGGATCTGATCTTTTAACAACTTTTCTATCCAGAATTGGGAAATGATGATTTTGGGCAGCGGCAGAAGAATCCTCGCAGGTGCGGCTGTTTATACCAATTTATATTGCTCCTTTCATATACTTTAAGAACAATGCTGATATTCTTATACATTTGGTACAGATATACCGAAATGAAGTTTGACCAATGAAGGAGTTGCATCTGTTGTGAGCCCATATCAAATTATCCTATTAGAACCGCTATCTTTAGTTGGGTGCTATTGCAAATTACTGTGGTACTTCCAGTGCAGCGGGCGTTTTCCCAGACCTTTTTTCCGTTCATTGATCTGGACAAACTGGGGCTGCCATCTATTCGGCCTTACTTTAGGTAATCCCTTTACTTGGTATTAGCTATCAATATCTATAGTTTAAGTAATTGCATCCTTTGTTGTCCTTTCACAACAGTTCTGAAAAAAAAATGTGGCAGTAGCCTTTAGTTTTAATTTTCTAAAAAAGTCTTATATGATTGAAAACAAGACTTTTTTTGTTGTCATTCTTCTTGTACAATGTTCTTATAAGACGGAAGCCAGGGTTTATTGGTAAACATTTGCTCCCTCCGTGTCTATTTTAGTATTCAGTATGACCAGGCATACATTTTTAGAGAAATGTAAAAAAATACGGAGTATGTGATAAAGAAAATTGTTTAGAGGAGAGATGTTATGAGGCACATATTTTATTGTAAGAGTGAGATTGTTTTAACACTGATGGAAAAGAAAGTGAAGTTTATTACAGGGAATATATTTCTATAACTATAAATATATTTCAGGGAATATATTTCATAACAAGTGATTTAAATTATATTTTTGAAACTAGCAAACCCTTATGTGTTTCTAGATAGTCAAAATAGCAAATACATAAATACAAGTGGTTTTTTATTTTTGCATTTCAGTTCAACCTTTAAAACAAATAGAGTATCCATTTTCCTCAGGGTATTCTCCCGGAAATGACCCTGCATTTGAGTACTTGCGAATGCGCCCACCCAGTGCCTAGTGCTTTCAACCACATTTGTGTTGTTCTTTTTACCCGGTTACCTTTCGTGTTTCCTAACACCTCTTATTTCTCCACGTTGCATCTGGGGTTTCTTGTGCCAGGTTTACATGACAAACTGCCTGCTTAAGTTGCTTCACTTGAAGACACACGCTGCAGCTTGGCAGGTGTCATATCTTTATTCAATGTGTTGGTATGTGTTTTAAATCTCTGATGACGACTTTACCCTTATACTTCCACCCCAAAAAACTATACCCAGTTTGACTTTCACATAGTTTAAGAAAAATGTTGAAAAGTGTATGATTAGAAATAAACTGGGATGTATTTTTTGAATGTCCACAAAGAGAAAGCGGGTAAACTTTTTTTTTGGAACGGTGGGAGTATTTAATTCAAACTTTCTTTTTGGACAGCACTTTAAAATATTGTATTTTTCCAGGTTCTTGTGGCTTGCTTTTCTTTGAGTGAAGCTTGTGAGAATTGTTGTTACTGGGATTTTTATGACAAGGCATAAAAATAAGACGGCAAAGAACAAGAGAGGTCTTGTGTTGCCTTGCAGAAGTAATGTTTAAAGGTGCCAAATTCCATGTTTTCCGTCTCTGGTTTTGTTTGGTTTTGTTTACATGTTGCGCTTTGCTTTACTGAGACGGTGTTTGCCTTTGTGAAGTTTGGTTTGCGTTTATTTTGTACTTGACGAAAAAACGTAGCATTTTGTCTGATTTGTAATTTATGTTGATGACATTCACATTTACTATAAACTGCTTTTGTCATACTTGTTGGTCTTAGTATCTACTTTTCCATATTTGTTTATGGTAAGTCGATTAATTCGGGACGCTCACAAAAAGGAAAGGATAACTAAATCCCCGATTGAGGTTCGGATTGGGGTTTGAATTGTTTTCTTCTAGTGCTATTAACTCAATTAGAATGTAGTACGAAGTACTTGGTATCAGTTTGTACTTTTTTTAGCGTATTGACGCACAAAGAATCAACACCTTTGCCTATTTGCTTCGATTGTGATTCGAATATGAATGAGCTTCCCCATAAATCTTAGAGTGGGTTTTTTAGGAGTAATTGTTTATTATGAGCAAATTCTAGAAATAGTCCTTTTTATATAGGGATTTTTTAGATTTAGTCCCTAGAGATTATTTCTCTAATTTATTCCACATTTAGTCAATTAGAATAAATTTATAAATGTAAGGGCTTCAATTAACATCATTAACCAAGGATGGAATGTCGCAAAATTTTACTCCAATTTGTTTTTTAGTCACAAATGACAAATTTATTATTTTTTTGATTTTTTGCCACTCTAATATTACTCTTTTCAAAGATGGTTGAAAGTTGAAAAACCTCAAGGCAAAAGACGAGTTTTGGAATTTACTACTAATAATTACTCCGTATTCCGTATTTGTTAAAAATATTTACAGTACGTAATAAAATATATCGAGCATGTCTTCAAGCATTTTTCAACAAACAAAAACACAAAATGTTAAGCATGAAAGTGTTTTTTTAGTGGTATTTCTTTTATTATAATGTAGTATTTTTATTGTATTTCACATTTTCTTAACCTAATAACGCACATTGAGCCAACATTTTTGTCTCCACTCTAAATCGAATTTGGATAAGCTTCTCTTTGAACTTTGGGGACTACATTTCGGGCCACTCAAACCAATCGAGAAGCTCGTGTGAAAATGTTTTTAGTACGTAGTTATTCCATATTTTTTATTCCATATATTATAAGATGTATGTGTTTGGTAGTGTTTTTTTGGGCTTAGCATTGGTGAGCCCCGTGATTTTAATTTTAAAAATAGGTAAGGAAGGCGTTTGTGTGCTCTATTTAGAAACCATAGAAACTTTAAAAATAACTTTTAAAAATAGAGACGGTTTTGACGTCTTTTTGGTAAAGTATGGGGGACACCCATGCTATTAGCGGGTGTTTTTTTTCATCCAATGTTTGGTTGTGCTTAATTGACAATATTATTGATTTATCATGATCCATTTTTCTGTTTTACTGTACCAAAAGATGAAGCAATTCGCATGGAAAGTGAATATTTATAAAGTAGTGACTTTTTGGGAATGGGTAGCCAGCAGACCGGTCCAAATTTGATCCGGTCTTTATTTTTAATTTACAAATTTTTCATTTTTTTCTTTTTAAAAAAATATCACTTTTGATTATTTAATTTCTTTGATTTCTATACTTTGTCGATTTATGCAACATGAATATTATTCTCTAAAGTGGTTAGATAAGATTTAAAGAAAATAAAGTTTGGTTTATTTATATTTCTATATTTGAGATTTTTTATCATGTTATGTTAAATCTTACTTGTAAATTTATAAAAAAATAATATAAACTACTATTCTATAACGAGTATATTAATAGGATAAATATATTTGAAAAAAAAATCTATGTATAGTTTAAGATGTAAATATATTTCTATGAAAATTATATTTCAAAGTATTATATTACTAGTTTTGGTTCGAAATTGGTCTAGTCTTTCTGAAAGATCAAATTGAATCCGAGACTGATTTGGTTTTGCATCTAAATTAAAGGATCAAATGAGACTAACAATTCGAGACGTGAACGGTCTCAAGATCACTTCAAGTCCAATATTTTCTCGTTGAATCCTCATACATAATTTATTTTGATCTGTTGTTTTCCTCATAGTCCTTTTATTATTTCTTTGTACCCGATATCTTTTTAAGTGAGGATAAAATACTCTACAAAAATCATTGCAATTCATAAATAAGGGCATACTCAAGAGTAGAAAGTAGAAACACGTTCTATTTTAATATGCTCTAAGAGCATGTTTTCCTGAACTCAGTTTTAATTAATGGGAGTTTGGAATTTTAGAATCTAAAGCTTGAAAATTTGAATTTCATGTAATGCAATATAATAGTTTTAACTAAGAGATAAGATTTGGATTTTAAGTTTAATAACTCATACATTACTTGAATATTATCAAATAACTTTGCCCGAAGTATTCATCAATTCAGAATTTTAGTAGAGAGTATTGGATTATCAAAAGGCCCCTTGGAGGCTAGGCTGAAGTGCAAGGGGTACAATTTGTGAAAAGAATTAGAGAATATAAACAATTTTGAATAGAAACAATCCCATCATAAATAACTTTAATTTTTTTATTAAATTACTTTTTTCGTCTCAAAATAAAAATGATACAGTACTTTGTTACACATTGATTTCATGATCTGAAGTTTAATGGAAAATATTAAAATTTAAAGTATGCAGATGGCCGGATTGTTTGGACAAACCAAATATTTTTGCTACATGTTCCTTTTTCGGATGTAAAATAATACTCCCTCCGTTCCCCAGTGTTTGTCCACTTTTGACTTTTGGAACTGTTCATCTAAGTACTTTGACTCATCAAATTCTCTCAATGTATAAGCCTAAATATAGTCATATTCTCTCAATGTGTAAGCCTAAATATAGTCATGTGTGATCTTGTTTGATTTGTCTTAACATATAGATTATTAATATATAATTTCTATAATTTTTTAATATACAAATTACAAGATAAAATGGATTAAAGAAGTGCATTGGATGGTGTGTAAAAAAGAAAGTGGACAAATATTTTGGGACGGAGGTAGTAAAACTTTTTTTTCTAGACAATACAAAATAAAAAAAAATGTAATTTTAATTTTAGGCCATATACAAAGAGAAATTTACCTAAATAGGACCAAAACATAATGACTTTCCCAATATAGGACCATATGTTTTTATTTCTCAATGTAGGACATTTGGTCATTATCAAGTAGTCATTATTCAACTAAATGTCCATCATTGCTGAACATTATTCCTTCCACTAGGTCATTATTAAGTTTTATTTAGGGAATAAAAAAGTTTAAGTCCTACATTAGGAAAGTCATTATGTTTTAGTCCTATTTAATGCAAATTTCACTATACAAAACACGAGATAAACTACTTGAGTAATGCTAGAGTCACAAATAAACAGTTCACAAAATTAACAAAGTTTCCTTTTTAACACTTTTCTAGAAATAAGATACACTCAAATAATTAATGATATTTTAATTTAAAATCCAAAAAAAGTAAGTTTGTAAAGTTTGTGAACCATATGTTTGTAACTCTAGCATTTTCCAAACTACTTTACTACACCACCCAAATAAAACTCTAATTTAACCGGCACTAATCCCTTTTTATTGTTCATTTCGGACCATTCTCAAAGATTTCCTCAAATTTAGCCAAAGTTCGTTAATAAATGGTTAATTCCTTACTAAAACTTTTTTTTATTCATACGCTTCACCTTTCTGCTTCGCGCGTGCGATCTCTCTCCCTCTCTCTCTCTTTCATCACTTCCAACTTGATCTTCGAGGTGATATCGTTTCGGAGACGGAGAGAGCGGTGGCTGGGAGTTCAATTTGCTCTGATTTCAGGTCGATGACAGCGGCTAGCCGCCGTGCGCGGTTGATCTCCGTTCAACTGATCGGGATAGCTTGATTTTGCTGTAAGTTTTTCTGTTTTCTAGTTCAATTTCTGGTATATGATTTCGAATTATTGATTCACGGTAATGTAGTAGTTGAGATTTAAGTTCCTCCCATGGCCGAGCTACTGGAATGTTTTTTTCTAGGGAGTAAATAAGTTGATTTTGCAGAATTCCTGGTAATGTGGTGACATGACGAAGCTGATGACTGAAATACTTTACCGTATCTGCTTATTACTTATTTTTTCCATTTTTCGCAATTGGTTTTTACATTTATGTTTTATTTTTTTCAATGATTGATAATAGATGAAGCATACGATGTGTACAGGTTTAATTGAACCATTAGGGAATATAATTATCTGGTATTCAGGTTCAGGATCTTCGAGTTGTCTCTATTTGTGCATTTAGAATACCCCATTAATGGAGGATGGGGGTGCATCGAGAGTTTCGTCCTTGAGGACGGGTACAGGCGCACTGAAATCCACATTGTCTGGTAGATCAACTCCTCGGGGTTCCCCTTCCTTTAAGCGGTTGAGCTCTGGGCGTACCCCACGCAGAGATGGTGGTAGGAGTAGTGGCCTTATTCATTCCCAGTGCTTCAGAAGCAACAGAATTATTCTTTGGCTGCTCTTAATTACCCTTTGGGCTTATGGTGGATTTTATTTCCAATCAAGGTGGGCTCACGGGGATAACAAGGATGGTATATTTGGAAGTTACCATGGTAACTCGTCCATTCTTGAATCCCCTACAGAGCTAAAGAATGCAGATTCTGCTTTGTTAGGTATGCTTGATACTGACAACAGCCAGTCCAATTCAAAAGATGTCGGTGTGACTTTATCAACCAAGGGCAATAGTGGTAATTCATCATCTGATAGAAATGCAATTTCTAAGAAGGAAAAGAAATCAAAGCGGTCTCCACGCAAGAAAAATCATGGAAAGCAGAAAGTTGATAATCATGATGATGTGCATGAAGAGGAAATACCAAAACAAAATACAACATATGGACTGCTTGTGGGTCCCTTTGGTTCGATAGAGGACAGTATATTCGAGTGGAGCCCTGAAAAGAGGTCAGGTACCTGTGACAGGAAGGGTCAGTTTGCACGCCTCGTCTGGTCCAGAAAGTTTGTTTTGATATTTCATGAGCTTTCTATGACTGGAGCTCCCCTTGCCATGTTGGAACTCGCAACAGAGCTCTTAAGCTGTGGAGCCACAGTTTATGTCGTGCCTCTTAGCAAAAGAGGGGGTTTGATGCCTTTGTTAACTAGGAAAAAGATCAAAGTTCTTGATGATAAGAGTGACATCAGCTTCAAGATAGCAATGAAGGCGGATCTTATAATTGCAGGATCTGCTGTCTGTGCTTCATGGATTGGTAAGTGGCTTTCGTTTATATTGTTTTTTATGTAATGCCAAATAAACTCAAAAAAGGTCATATGTTACTTTTGATGAAAACAATCCAATACTGGTCGCCATCTGTAGAGCATATGTCACATTTGCCTCTGGCTTCTGATATAGGCAAATAAACTGTGTTCCTTATAAAGCCTGAAAGAAATCATTTTAAAGTCCATTGTGGTAAGTTCACATGAATAGTTGTACTATTAACTATTAATATGTGGTGATCTCACATGAATAGTTGTATTATTAACTATTAATATGTGGTAATCTCACATGAATTGTACTGTATAGTTAAGCCGGCCTTCACATTTTACCCAACCACATAAATGTCCATGGTTCTCACATTCAAAGACCCTAGTTATTTAAGTGTTATAGTGTATAGTGGATCTCTTATTGTGTTGATGCCAAGAATAGGGTAAAATGTGAGGTTCCATATTAGCATGGTTGCATTTGTCTCCATATGCTGAAGTGTCGTGCATTTATGCCATAGTCATTTTTGTCTAGAATATAAATTGATAAATATACCTCCAAAAAAATGGAAGGAGTAAAAGCGGGAAAAAATAGAAGTAGATGAATAAATAGTGGCATTCTTTATTTCTATGGTTCCTTCTTAAACGGTGGGGTATTTTCTCTATACACCGGAGCTCTTAACTTAATTTCATCATATTTTGGATCCCCGCCCACATCCTCAAAATTTCTATATTGGTGCTTTGTTACAATGGAGTTTCAACATCAATAGAGGCTTCAAGTGTGGAAGTGTAACTTGAAAGGTTTCCCCAGGTAGAACCTGTCTGAAGTTACAACCAAAAAGTGATTGAGTGGTAATTTCACATGAATACTTGTAGTATGGCACACAATCTTAACCTCACATCTTACCCAACCACATAAAATTCCACTGTTCTCACATTCAAAGACCCGCGTTATTTAAATGTAATAGCGTATAATGCATCTTTTATGTGTTTAAGGTCAAACATGGGGTTAAAGTTGGGTGTATTTGTAGCAAGGAGCACATCTTTCTGAATTACCTAATGTGCAGAATGCAGCACAATCTTATTAATGTTTTTTGTATAATCACACCTAATGTGCGGAATGTAGTCAGTATACTAATATGCTTCTATCATGTGATATCTGGCTGTTGGACCAAGTTGGTTTTTACGGAGTATTATTTTATACTCTGTATTCGTTATGATATTTCATATTGATGCTATGAAATCATGATCTCCAGAAAGATATGCAGCACGTACAGTGCTTGGTGCTAGTCAAATCGCTTGGTGGATCATGGAAAACAGAAGGGAATATTTTGACCGGTCAAAACTAGCATTCAACAGGGTGAAGAAGCTTATCTTTCTTTCTGAATTACAGTCAAAACAGTGGCTAGCCTGGTGCGAGGAAGAACACATTAAATTGAAATCTAAGCCATCACTTATCCCACTTTCTGTCAGTGATGAACTTGCTTTCCCAGCAGGCATTGCTTGCTCTCTGAATACTCCCCTCTTTACCACTGAGAAAATGATAGAAAAGCGAAAGCTATTGAGAAATTCTGTGAGAAATGAAATGGGATTATCGGATGATGATATGGTTGTTATGTCCTTGAGTAGTATAAATCCCGGAAAGGGTCAATTATTACTTATTGAATCAGCACAGTTGATCTTGGAACAAGGACTTTCTCGAAATACTCTTGAAATAAAAAACCAAGACTATTTAAATGGAACATCTCTTCATAACAGGAAACCGAAACTTAAGATCCTTATCGGGTCTGTGGGGTCTAAGAGCAATAAGGTTGCCTATGTCAACACACTTCTCGAGTTTCTTTCTCAACACACAAACTTGTCAAACTCAGTGCTCTGGACTCCAGCAACTACTCGGGTTGCCTCACTGTACTCTGCAGCAGATGTTTATGTTATGAATTCCCAGGTAGGGATTTACATGGCTTGTTTAGCTGGGTGATTTTTCAGGGAATGGGAGGTTTGGTTATTGTTTTGCTAATTCATCTATATTTGTTAGTACTAGAAAATGACTACTCCCTCCACCCCCAGGCCCCACCCCCCAAAAAAATCTATTTGAAAACTAATTCCAACATATTCTGTGTTTTTAAGTGTCTTAATGAAGTTAAGTTCATTAATTTTAGTTAGATCAACATAGGATTATGTAACCTTGGAGTTTATCTTATAAAATCTTCTGTTAACTACATACCAGTACAAGTTTAAAAACATTAGCTAGAATTGATGATATAGTTAGGCCTTCATCAAATTTAAAAGAGTGAACTTCAGTGAAACAAGACTGTTTTGGGGATGATGGTAGTATATGCTTTACTTAAATACTGTGTTTTTATACTGTATCATTTTCCATCTTTGATTTCATTCCAACTATCCAAAGGTAAGAATAAATTAATAAAATGGATATCCCCCCTCTGAAATTTTCTAACAAAACAAGGGCTATGCTTTTCTATCATGTTTGTCCATTTGAATTTTGAAGCAATGTTTTTTCTATCTATTAAGATTTTTATTAGCATTTGAAGTGTTACCAATTGTGTCACAGGGACTCGGTGAAACTTTTGGGAGAGTAACTATAGAAGCTATGGCATTCGGTCTTCCAGTAAGTTACATAATGCTTCGTCTATATTGTCTTTGCTTGCTTATATAAATGACTTATGCCATTTTCAATTCAATTATTTAAATATTGGCGAATACTTTTAAAAAAATTATATATTTAAAAACCAAATCTAAAGTTCTACAAAACAATAGGTGAATGACTTTATCATTTTATCAAATGATCAATGGAAATATGTAAATAAAGAGAATATAATTTGACCCTACGAATACTAAATAGTAAATGAGAAGATTAATAGGGGACGGTTGGTGTAGTATTCAACAAAAACTTGATTGCATAAGATTAGATATTAATCTACTTGTCAACGGTTCTGCACCTACGTTTGATTAACTCGAAAACATGAACTAATAACCAGTATTGATAGAAAGTGGTGGTTACTAGAATACTATACATGTTTGGTTACTTGATGTTTCTTTCCTTGTGTCTATTTTTGTGGGGTAGGTCCTAGGAACAGATGCTGGAGGGACAAAGGAGATCGTTGAGCACAACATAACAGGTCTTCTCCATCCCTTGGGACGTCCCGGAGCTTCTGTTCTTGCCCAAGATCTTCAATATTTGCTGGCGAACCCATCAGTTCGGCAACAGTTAGGGAGCAAAGGGAGAAAGAAGGTAGAAGGTATGTACTTAAAGAAGCACATGTACAAGAGATTTGGAGAGGTTTTATATGATTGCATGAGGATAAAATAGGTTGTGTAGAGTGGACATTGTCCAAAATGCCCTCCTTGAAAAGGCATCTCAAAGTATAGTTGTTCACAACGGCCCCCCTTACTTTCTCATTCAATGTTGACATTGCACCCCATGTCCCCATTATACGATAAGAAGAGTGTGTCGTTCGGTGCTAGTCCTCGACCAAACAGTAAAGTTCGATATAACAAAAATAATATGAGACTTTGGGGGGGGGGGGGGTGGCTTCCAAGTAAGGGTAAAGTCGGCATACAGACCTACACACACGATGAGCTATCATATTGGTTAGGAGTGGAATGCTATGGGCAACGTCGGTTGTATAAGCAACACATGAAGGATTTATAACCGAAACGACCCAAGACCCATATGAGGACGTTGACCCTTAAGGAAGGTTGAATGTTACGGATAGGTACCATTTGCAAGGTATAGGACTTTTGTATGAGCAATAAATGAGGGATTTGTAAGCCAAATGGACTCCGATCTCCTTAATTTATAAGAAAAGGTTACATATATTTCGTTAATACATAACTCATGTACTCTGTGTTTCTTTTTCCGAAATTCCCTCAAATGGTGTATCACAAGAAGAAATATTGCCGTCCTCGCAAAATTAAGTGCATGATAAGCGAATGGGGCTCGTTTGGCATTACCTTTAGCATTTTGTATTTAGTATTTCACAATGTTTAATTTTCATGTTTTATAAGTTATCCTTAATATATAAAAAATCTAGCGCTAATTGAAAATCTTGTTATCAAACAAAGTCAATATCACAATGGAGAAATTTGGATTTTGGACAGATACAGTACAATCATATTGGGGAAAAAGACTTTGGGTATCCTATGGCCATGTTCTCATTAGCTAATTTTTTTTCTCATTGTTTATTTTTATTGGAATCAAATTAAAATCAGATCAGAAATAACTTTAAATATAAGTACATTCAGATTAAATCGGAATTTATTCAAATCCGATTAAAATCATTCAGATTAGGTGAAGATAACATGATCCAAGTTTGGCTTTATTTTTGACATCAATATCTTTACCCATATCACGAACACGAAATACTATTTCGTATATCAGTATATGAAATATTTATAAAAGCATTAGTGTAAAAAATAGGGAAAATTTGTAGTTGTAGGAAAGAAAAAGCCGAAGGGTAAAAGAGAAATAAAACAAAAAATTGCTATGTATCCTTTATTTTAATTATAACAGCTGGATATCTCTATTTTTTAAAATATACTACGAGGTACCTTAAATATTAAAATTTTAACTAAGGGGTGATTTTCCATCCATCCTCCATTTGCTCCAACTATCTCTGTCATTTCATCATCATCATCATCCCTTCTCATCTAGGCGGCTCTTTCACTTTCTTAAGTCCACTTTTAGAGTGGTTAACCTAAAATTTAAAGTGGACCTTCATCTATGTGAAAAAAAAGCAAATGCTTACTAGTGAGATGAGTATATTTAATAATTACTCTTTAATTATCCTTAAGATCTCATGAGATGCTTACTCAAATTGGATTTCGATTTCTAGACATTTATTTATTGTATGTCATTTGGTTGAAAAAATATCAATAAATACTAAGATTTTAATAGAATAAATAGCTTTATTAAAAATTGCTTAACCACCAGTTACATAAAAAAATTTAGATTGCATACTAATACAAATAAACGATTTTTTAAAAGTTTTCCAGTAATATAAATCTAATGAAATTTTTGTACTAATCTTTATTAGATTCAACATGTACCATCCATTTGCATTACAAGTAAAAAAGTAGATGGGAAAAAACTTGTGTTTCTTTAACATTTTCATATTTTCTCTTATTTGATTTAGACACAAAATAGAGAAGACAAAATATACAGAAATGAAAAATCTCACATAAAAGAGTAGGGATATTTTTTTATTTCATCCTCCTTTTCTTGTTTTTTCTCATTTTTTAAAATTTTTTACTTATACATACATTCAATAGAGAAATACTACATTTGTCACATTGTAGTCGTTCAATTTGACTTTTTCAAGTCAAACCAAACATGACAAAATTTGGATTTTAATTAAATAAAAACTAAAATGTTTATATATTCATATACAAATGATTTCATTCGGTATAACTTGTTGATAAATTTTAAAAAATTATTATTTATGTTAACATACAATACACATTAAAAATAATTAATCATTTAAATATACAATACAAAATAAGAATAATATGCTAGGAGAATGTTTCTCTTTATTTTCTTATCACCCCTCATTTTTTCCTTTTTGTTTTTTGCCCTCCTCACCCGAATAATGAAGTGTTAGTGGGCTGATCCATTATTTAAACATTTAGCAGGGACGAAAAACCCTAGACGGAGGGAGAGAGGTGTCGCGCCCCACGAGATCGCAGACGCCGCACCGGAGAAGACGACGCGAGCAATTGTTCGACGATGGTATATTGCTTTAACTGGTTGCTTGGTTCCATTTTATATAGTCCTTAGTTTGTTTCTGTTTTGTGGGAGCTCAAATCTGCAGTGTAAATCGCCATTGAACTGGTTTATACCCGAAATAGTGTTCAAATCTGGTTTATGTGTTCGTATTTGATTAGAAATCCCTTGAGAAGTGTTAGTTATTTGTTTCTATCATGGATTTCGGATGCGTGTGTTTGTATACAATTTCTCTAAAAGCTAATAGCCATGAATGAATGGCTTCACTTGACCAAGAAATGGACTCAGTTCATTTAGTTTTGCTAGGAAATGAATCAAACATTGAAGCTCTCTTTTGAACAAGTAAAGTTCTGTTTGGAAATTGGTTTATAAGGAGTAATCTGCCAGCTTGTCTATTTTTGCTTTATTCATGAGTGAGGTCTCATTTGATTGCAAAATGATTGAGTAAATTTTGGCTTAGTTTGGTAATGAGTGAATGAGTGAAATTTTACAGCCTTTGAAGTCTTAGAATTGTTTTTGAAGTGTTTGAAATCAAGTGTTTGAATAAGATATTGGTTTTTGATCTGGCCAACATATCTATATCCTCTTATTTTCTTGAATGCACATCTCTCTAAACAATGGGGTTTGTTTTGTATCATGATAACAGGCAGCAGAAAAGAAATTGAGTAACCCGATGCGGGAGATAAAAGTCCAAAAGCTCGTCCTGAACATTTCCGTCGGAGAAAGTGGAGATCGTCTCACGAGAGCTGCAAAGGTACAATAGATCTCCATTCGTTGTTGTTTCATTTCTTTCAGCTATGCGAACATATTAAAATATTTTGATGTGTGTAGGTGCTGGAACAACTCAGTGGCCAAACCCCTGTTTTCTCTAAGGGTATGATATGTTTTTTTGTTTCCAACAGATGGATTCCATTGCATGCTTTGTTTTAACATTTATTCTGCCATTTTTATGTCTGAAGCAATAATAGATTTTTCTGTGCCATTTTTATCTCCAAAGCATTAATAGATTCATGGTGTGTTCCAAAGCTTGTCTCTCTTATTGTATTACATTACTTCATACAAGATGTGACAATGGAATGTGGAGTTGTTTCTTTTCTTTGATAACTGTCTAGGTTTTGAAATTTGAGCTATCTTTTATCACTGAAATTGCGCTGAGCATACTGGTGTGCACTTATAAATGACTTGTAGTGTACTTTCTTTTCCATTAAACAAGAATATCTGTGTAGAAATTTGTAGTTCATAAGACAGAAAATGAATTTTTGATGTGTTGGACACTAATAATGCATTGGTTTTTACAATTGACAATTTATCTGATAGATTATATGAGTTTCATTTTGTGTTTCAACTCTCCGTCCTTGCGAGTGTTTGAGAATACCATTATTATCACTCCCACTACTAGAGGCAAAAAGTTCTTCTAACAATCTCATATGAGTAGAGAGCTTTGATGGATGTCTTTTTTTTCTTTGTCACTTTCCGTTGTAACACTGAGTGCAATCATATTGGAGAGTTGTCTCTCCTGCTTTCCTCCTGACTTATTGATCAATGATCATTTAGAAAGAAAAGTTGCATTTCTGATGTTTCATCCTATCACCCTGGTTTTCCGTTTTGGTGATTTCATGATGTCTTGTGCCTTAACAGCTAGGTACACTGTGAGGTCCTTCGGTATCAGACGTAATGAAAAGATTGCATGCTATGTCACTGTCCGGGGCGATAAAGCAATGCAACTCCTTGAGAGTGGATTGAAAGTGAAGGAATATGAGCTGCTAAGGAGGAACTTCAGTGATACTGGTTGCTTTGGATTTGGTATTCAGGAGCACATTGATCTTGGAATCAAGTAAGTTGCCCAACTCTAGTTTTTTCATTTTTTTGAAAATGTTCTCCCTCAGTTTAATAATTTACATAAATTTTGGGGAAAAATGCCTCAATGAAAGCATAGAAGGCCATTTCCATTTCAACAATGGTATTTTGATGGTCTTGGTGCCGGTTTGGAAGATGTTGTTAGCCACCTCAGACACAACTATACTAGCTTTAGCATCCCGTCTATTTTAGCCATGCTTTAAGTAGTCTCTTGACTGCAAATGTTTAAGGCATCCCAAAAAGAACTCGGCTTCCTTTTCAGCTGTCCCACAAAAAAAAATCACTTTTTGCTTAAACTATGTGAAAAAGCGAACGAGAACTTACAGAGGCCAATTGAGTATGTCATTGCCACATGCTGATTTATAACTAATTTTTCAGGCCTTCAGTGCTGAGTGATGGTATAACAGTCATGCTAATCTTAGTTTTGTTTTTCCAAAAATAATAATAATAACCATATTCATGAAACAGGTATGATCCCTCAACTGGTATTTATGGTATGGATTTCTATGTTGTCTTGGAACGTCCTGGTTTCCGCGTTGCACGTCGAAGAAGGTGCAAGTCCCGTGTCGGGATCCAGCACAGAGTAACTAAGGAAGATGCAATGAAGTGGTTCCAGGTCAAGTACGAGGGTGTTATCCTTAACAAGTCCTCCAACCTTACATCTTAGGGGTGGGTTGTCCTTTCAATTTCAGACTTGTTGTCTTCTAATCTTTTTAAGTGCACCAACAATTTGTTTTTTTTTGAGTTATAAAGTTTTGATTTATGGATATGCTGCTCAAGATTTGTCATGAGATGATTTTATCTTATTTCTTTGTGGAGTATCTTATCTTTTCTACTCTTTCCGTTCTAATCTAATTTGCCTATATTCTTTATTCCTTTTCGTTATCTATTTGACAAAAGTAGTTTTGGACAATTTTTGTTCTGTAGTAAATTCCCAAAATAATAAAATATTTTTCCAAATCAGTCTATTAAATTTTAATTACTTACGTAGTTTTCTATAATTACGATTTATTATTTGAATAGTTTTTTGTAAATAATATTACTTAAATGATGATTAATTAGGTTTATTTTGGTATTTTTATTTGCTTAATTTAGAGTACATTTTTAAAATGATCTTCTCTGATGAAGTGTTTTCTCAAAATGTTTTTTCTAGTTAAAGATGTATATTCCCTCTGTTTTTAAAAATACTTTTTCTTTCATTTTTTCTAATTTTAAAAAAACGCTTTTACTTTCTATTAAAAAATTGTTTTACCTTTATTTTTTCATATCTTACCTATCAAATCATATTTTTTTCTAATAATTTATCTATCATATTTTACTTTTACTCATCGTATCAAGAACAAAATTTTAAGCCAAGTACAATTTAATATTTTTATTTTTACACTTGGTCAAAATAAGAACTCTTTTTGAGAACAGAGGGAGTATTTGATTCAAATTTTAAAAAATTTTTTTATATGTTTTTTGTAATTCGTGGATTATGTATAGTAAATGCATTGTTTTAATTTTACATTTAATTGTATCAAATTGACCATTTGAGAATATACTTTAAATTTAAATAATGGAAATACAAAGTACCTTATAACTAATTATCATTTGAATAATACTCCGTATTACTTATGATAATTCACATAAGAAATAAATTTCAATTATAAAAGACTACGTAAATAATTAGAATTTACTCTGTATTAAAGATTGAGTTGGATAATATCTTATTACTCCACAAAGGATCATTTTTAGATTTTACTTTAAAAGATTTCTTTATTTTTAAATATATATTTTATGTTTTATTTTCATACCAATTTTTAAAATAAATTGAAATTAATTTAAGTCAATTCTTATAAATCTTGGCTTTTGCTTGTTTTATTAAGTAATCTTGGATATGATCAACATTAATGTGCTTGCAACCCTTGCATTATTAACTCTTAATATATCAGGTACACGTATAGATAATCATTTTTAATATGCCAAATTGTCAATCACAATTATCAAGTCTTAAAAAAAAATGAGTCCCCCAAAATTAGGGAGTCCAATCCACACCCTGACTGGTTCCTTAGGCCCGTTTGGTACACGGAATTCAAACTATAAAATTGGAATTGAGGATTTAAATTCCAATTCTGGTGTTTGGTAGCACAAAAATTATGTGGATTTGAAATTAATAGTGCAAAAAATAAATTGAAATTGGCAGAATTAAATTCTATGGAATTGATCCCATGAAATTTCAATTTCAATTCTATCAATTCTATATACCAAACAGACCTTTAGAGAAATTTGGACAATACAATGGTTTTGTAGGAAGAGAGGTAGTTTTGAACTTGTATCGGAACTAGAACCGTAGGTTTTGGGGCCAGAATTAAAATCGAAACCTTTGGGGCGGGTGGGGAGAATTGAAACTAGAACCTTTCAGTCCGGTGGTTTAGGTAATTGGAATGCGGGTGGGGAGAATTGAAACTAGAACCGTATGTGTCTAACTTTGTTAGACACATACGGGGTACTACGTTTGGATGAGTAAAAAATCAATAAAAAAATTCTGGAACTAGAATCGCCAGCTCCCGAACCGGTACTGCCGACCAACGGTGCTTTTCTAGAACCTCCTGTTCTACAACCGGAACCGGCCCAAAACCTTCATGTTTTTACCCAATTCAGGGTAAGGAAGAGAGGTATCACTTTAACCAAAATTGCAAAGAAAAAAACTCTGTTATTCTATAATTTTATACTCCCTCCCTTCATAGACTTTTAATAGATGTAAGAATATTGTTTATTTTCTATATTTGTCCATTACAATATGCTTCCCTAATTATTCAAATATGGTGGATAAAATTGAGAATGAGACATTAGAGTGTGAAGTTTTTTAAAAAAAGAAAAAAGACATTGTGAAAAGTGCACTGAAGAACAAAATGAGTATTCAGGGGAAAAGAAATAAAACTTCCAAAAGTACAATAATTACAATCTGAAGGACTTCATTTGTGTACATTCACACATATGGTTTGTTTTCATACTCCGGGGTAACTAAATATTTGTACCCTCCAATATGTAACTTTCATTTTTACACTCCGACATTTACAAACTCTTTTTACCCCCCACCCCATAAAAAAAGAAAAGAAAAACAACTCTTATATTTCCAAGCAACATCCGGATTGGACGTGGCCGGAGAAGTTCTCCGGCACGGCGACGGCGGCCCACGTGTACCCTTTCAAATCCAAAACAAATGCCTTATGTGGCTCGTTGTGACTGGCCGACCCAATCACCAACATCTTGTCATCCTGCCACATCATCACACACGTCACGTTGTGCACGGCGACCGGGAGCTGAGTCACCGGTTGCCACGTCATCGTCCCCGTCCGCTTCGCCACGTCACCGCCTCCACAAGTATACCACTCTCCATCCCCGCGGCCCACGCAAGTTCGGGGACACCCCGTGGCGGGCCCCAGGAACCCGCCGCGCGGGGCCTCCCATCGCCACGCGGAGGCGTCGAACGTCTCCGCGTCGTCCCCGAACTGGCCCTGCGCCGCTGTGGCGTACCCGCCGACGACGTGGAATTTTCCGCGGACGAAAACGCCCTTGCACTCGTCCCGCTCCCTCGCCATGTCGGGGAGGTGGGCCCACCGGTCCCCCGCCACGTCGTACGCCATTGCCGATTTCAGGGCGTTCTTCTCCTCGTCGTGCCCGCCGGCGACGAACGCCGTCCGTCTCCCGTCGGACGCGCAAGCGAAGAACGACATGCGGGGCCCCGGCATGTCCGCGCCGCGGCGCCACGCGGCGCGGACGAAGCTGTAGGCAAAAACCACCCGCGAGACCTCCCACGTGACCGGGTCCCACCCGCCCATTAAAACAAGGTCCGTCCCCACAGCCACAATCTCGCAAAACAGGGGCAACCCGTCGGAGAAACCGGGAACCGGGGGCAGCCGGGTCCAGCGACCCGTTTCCGGTTCAAATACGGTCAGCCCGTAACGCGGGGTCGCCGGGTGCTTGGCCGACGGAACCGGTTCGCGGGTCGGGTCGATCTGGGCCTGGGCGAAAACGACGACCCGAGTGGACAGACCCGAAACTCTTCGTCTTCTCCAGAACTCCGGCAGCTCGATCTCGAGCTTCCAGCTGCGGCAGACGGCGGTGACGGCGGGGAGATTTTCGTAGGGAACTCGAATCAGACAGTCGAGACCCAAATCTTCGGGAAGACCCGGAAAAAGACCCGACAATTCTTGATCCACCATTTCTTATCTTATCCTGTGAGGAGAATTGGGGGAAAAAGAAACAGAGGATATATATATATATATATATATATATATATATATATATATATATATATATATATATATATATACACACACAGAGAGAGAGAGGGGAGGAGAAGAAGGAATGAGAAGAAGTTTTGGATATTTTGGGGGCCAATCTGACAGTTTATCCTGTTAAGTTAAATACACATACTCCGTAAATTATTAAATTATTTGTAATTCATAATAAAAATTCTACTCCGTAATTCATTAATAAAAAAAACTTCTGTTTTTTGCAATCAAATGTTTACGAAAGAGGTTTAAATGGCTAAAGGTACGTAGTGTTCAATGATATTTCTCCCTACTAAAGAGGGCTCGGCTCTTATCTTTACCGCATCCTAAATTCTATCATGGTGGTATCGGAGCAGGTCTGGTCCGAGTTAGATTCTTTCATGGGTTGAGTTGGCTAAAAAGAGATTGAGATGTCAGCGCCATTTGTTTGGTCTAGCTATAAGAGTTTGAGATGTTAGACTTGTTTGTCCTAGTACTAACTAGGTTAGACTAGTTACTACTTGAGGGAGAGTGTTAGAGTTCCCGCATCGAAAAATAAAGATGAATTCCATTAACATATATAGAAGGGTGAAGCCCTACCTATCGGCTTAAGCTTTTGGGTTAGAATGATAGATCCCAACTTTAACGCAAGTGATTAATTTTAAATTCTATCATGGTATCAGAGTAGATTTTGACCCACCTCGTTTGTCAAGGTGTCTGTCTAGATGTTCATTTCTAACGATTCGGGAGTCTTTAGTCCAGTTATCCGTATGGAGTATGTACCCAACGACCTGTGACATCTTTAACACGATTGCACGTCTGGAAGTTCCTACCAGAGGCTCGTGGTCCTTTAGGTGTTGGCTCCAAAAAAATCAATGAGATGAGAGTTCATTTGCAAGTGGTCAACCAGTTAGATTCAAAACAACCCGGTAGTCAACTTGCAAGTGGTCAACCAGTTAGATTCAAAACAGCCCGTTGTCAAATTTGTATTATCTTACCATGGCATAATTGTAAAAAATTATAGAGTATTTTCTTCATTGTTAAACAATTTCATATTTGGCCATTTTATGAAGTAAACAATCATTGTTGACAATTATGCTATGGTAAGAATGTAAGATGATAAAAATTTGATATATCATAAGATTATATAAGAAAAAAACAAATTGGAAGTTGAAAAATTGATGGCTGCCCTAAGTAATTTGTCGAGTGGCAATAACACTTCCCAATTATTATTGTTGCTATGGGGCTCACATAATTTGAATAGTTTTACAATCATAGTTCATCCGTCTTAGTCTATTTATCTAATTTGACTTTTTCGAGTCAAAGATAATAAATTTTGAGCTTCAATGAAACAAAAATAGTAATGCATATTAGTCCAAAAATATTTTTATTAGAATTATGTAGTTGAGAACTTTAAAATTTCATTTTATTATTATACTTATACGTATTACAAATTGAGAGTAATTGAAACTCAAAGTTTGCCCAGTTTGACTCGGAAAAATAAAACTGAATAAATACACTTGGACGTACTATGTAGGTAATACTCTACAAAAATTACTCTTTTCCTCCAAGTTAGTTTTTTTCCATTATGCGTTATGTGGTTTGGATGTCTTTATTTTCTATCTTATTTATTTGATTGAAGATGCAATATTTAAAAATAAAATTTAAATATTTAAAAACCGTATCAAAAGATGTGAAAAACTAGAGGTGATATTATTATACTATTTTATTAAATAAGTAACGAAAATAGGCAAACAAAGTATATAAATTTTGATTATGTGAATAATGTACGAGAAGAATGAAAAAACAAACAAACTTAAGTAAAAGAAAAAGTCAGTGTATTTTTGAAAAAAAAAGAAGAAGATAAGCACTCGATCGGTATTCAATGAGAGAGCATCAACGATCATTATGTAATATTACCATTGTTGAATAAAATTTTATTTTACACCCTTTGTCCAAGATTATTTATTCAATTTTGAGTTTTTGCAATCAATCATAAATCAATTTTGACTTTCAATTTAATAAAAAGTACGGAGTATGTGATATATTAATTAAATAAAATTATACATTAAAAAAATTTACAAGATAAATCTAATAAAATTATTTTTGTAACAATATTTAGTATACATTTTATTTAATTAAAAATAAAAATTTATCTATTTTGATTATAAAAGATCAAAATTAAACGAATACTCTGAGACGAAAATAATATAATTTTTTTGAGAATAATGGCATGAGTTTTGTTAGAAGAAGAAAAGAAGAAAGGAAAATGTGTGCCAAATAGGGAGTGGGTGGTGGAGTGGAGTTCCATTTTAGCAAGAAAAAAACACAAGAGGTTCTAGAAGGAAAATGACCAGAAACAAAAGAAGATGAATAATGTTGGTAACAAATTCAAGGTGGTCCTCTTCTCACTGTCCGGATGCGGCATTATATTAGTCATAGACCACTCATAGTTTTGCACAAATAATTATATACCCAAACAAAAACCCATCAAATTAAAATTCACTTTGTGTGGGATTTAAAACTAGAAATTCATTTTAATTATTAAATTCTAAAATTCACATACTCTTGGTAGGGTGACTCTCTCAATTGTTCTTAGGTATCATTTTCGTAAACATTCTTGTTCATTGTTTGAATATTACTCATCTCCTATGTTACAAATATTACTTTTGCCTTTGGAATTTTTTTCCAAAAAGAGGAGAAGAGGTTCTGAACTGCTGATTGTTTATGCTTGTGTTTGTCAAAAAATTGTCAAAGGGGGAGATTGTTAGGTCTATTCTGTTTTATCCTTAATTGCCCTTGTCATGGGTTGGCATTATTTTTTTGACAAATCACAATCACATAGAATAGGTTAGATGCTTTTGATACGAACAACGTATCGGAGAGGGAAGACTCAGAGCGTCTTCGAGCTCTTGAGAATATGGGACGAGGAAGAAGAAGGAGAATTGAGGCAAAGAAGGAATCGGCGAACCGAGAGGGGAGAAGAAATTAGGGTTTTGAGTTGTTTATTGATTGATTATTCTAAATGAAGTTACATCTCTATTTATAGGAGACAAGGAAACCCTAGCTAACCATAAATCTAACCTGACGGTTCAATAAAAGCGACGAGGGAAAGAACCGTAAAGAAACCTCGAAGGAGCTTATAATTCTGCTCACCTAATAAAACCTAAATTACAATACAATAATAATGATTAAATATCCTACTCTACTATCCATAACAGCTTTAATTTGTGTTGTAGCATTTTTTTCTGTCATCCTACTCTTGGTTACAAGGAGTCTGAAGACATTGTCATATCTTCTGAAGAGTTGGGACGTCTCAAGCATCTTCGCATAATGGAGATTATCATGAGCAAGGTATTTTTTTTGGATACTGGAGTTTATCCCGAACATCTTATTTTACGGATCTGGGACACTCTCTGTTTGTAGTCACGCCAAGACTCCTCCGTGCAGTACACTAGGACTGGGACTTTATACGTATATATATCACGCAGAGGATCTATTGGAGGTTGGAGAAAATAGAGAGAGAAAACACGAGAGTTCCAGAAGCGAGAGACACAAGATCATGCAACAATCTTTATCTTAGCGTGAGGATTTAAAGCTTACTCGATCGTGAAGTCATATATCAGAAACATTCTTCCCAGTTGTTTGATTCACGACCAAGTGATGACACATGAGTCCAAGAGTTGAGCATTGGGCTGCCCATGAGAAAAGGTTGAATTCACTTCCTTGGAAGAAACCTAATGAGGGTGTAGCGTGCCAAGGTGATAGGTGCAAACAGAGTTTTATACCTGAGGTCTTACGTAACATTTTCCTCGTCAAAACATTAGTGTATTTGATCTGTGTAAAACTCACCATGATCTAGTGGATGGCTATAACACAAACGTGGGCCTCGCAGACGTAGGAGGTTGAGCTCCGAATTACGTAAACAAATCTGTGTGTGTATGTTTACTACTCCCTCCGTCCATGTATGATCTTCTCATTACGCGTTACGAGGCTTGACCGACTTTATTTTCAATTCAATTTAATTGATTATAGGAGTAAAATTTTAAAATAAAATTTATATAGTAATAAACTACATGAAAAGTTCTACAAAACTAGAGGTGACAAGACTATATTATTTTATGAAATGATTAGTAAAATTGAGCAAACAAAGTGAGTAAAGTTTGACCATGTGAATAGTGTCTAGAAAGATCTATGGTGGACAGAGGGAGTATTTCTGTTTTGGATGTGTTTGCATGTGTGTTACATCATTGAACCTGTCATCCGTAACTGTTAACTAGCATATCACTTAGTGAACCCTTCTCTGTGGGTATTCATTTTTCTGAGAGAAAAACCAAGAGGCACATCTCATAGAGATTTCAGGTACGATCTCACATCGCATCCCTCGTTTGATAAAAACTTTTAAGAAGTATATAATTTAACGAAATTATATAATTTAACACACATACACACACTCACACACACAGATATAAGGACATATAAAATTTACCGATGATAAGATGCTCCGAGACGTCGACCCACGCGGACGCCACCAAAACTTATTCATTCGGTGTCCATATTTAATTGACCATGTCGTCACAGTCATCGAAGTTTTGGTTCATGATTGTGGTCTGTGACTCTTTTGACCTGCACTTTTTTGATACATTTGGTTCGGTTGAGTTTCTAGAATTGACTCCAAGTCCCCCAGATTCACCAGTGTGGTTGGGCTTTTGAAAAAAGTCAGATTATTCTTGTACGTTTGGTAAAGTCACATCGCGTACTCATTAGGCTCATGACCCGATGGAGGACCGAATGGATTCCTAATAAAAATTAAAAAATAAGAGAGAAAGTTGATAATTTTTTAAAGAAAGATGAGGATTTGTGTTTCTGTGTTTTATTTTTTTTAAATCAGAGTGAATATATAAAAGTTGATTTTTTTTTAAATGCCTAACGGCATTATAGACGTTGGAATGGAGGGGCCCGCGCACCTTTATCTATTATTCTTTCACCCGTTAAATATTTTGACACGAGCATGATGAAGCCCCGAAAATGTCCCTGCGGAATGGTGTTTAACGCCCCCCACGACGTTAAAAATTCCCACAACTTTAAAAGTAGTTTTAGTAATACTCTCAGATACTCCATTATTATTATTATTATTATTATTATTAAAACAGTTATAACTCTATTATAATGTAATATATGTTCATACGTTACGTTCTTAATCAATTCAGCACGTGATCGAACCTATGACCTCTCTCACATGGGAGACTCATCATCATGTCGTTGGACCACAAGATCTTTGACATTCCATTGTTATTATTACTGCTATTATTATTATTATTTGTACTATTATTATTATTATTATTATGTTGTCCTTCTTATGTCCGAAAGTTATTTTTTCTATTTGATTTTTCACGATCTCCAATGTTACATTTTGATCATTCATATCTATATTTTTTAAAAAATTGATATTTCAAAACTATATTCCAAAAATAATTCATTGATATTACATTTATATTATAAAATATTGTATTTTTTGCATACCGAGGTCAAAATTTACAAGTTTT